GCGCGCAATAGTGCTTACTCATCCGTCCACCTTTAAGAGAAATAGCGTGACGCACACACATTACGCACTAAACGCGCGCCACATCATGACTGCTTTCACATCGTCATCAGACAGTTTTAAGTCGTGAATTGCAATTTGAATTGAAGCACCACGCGTGCTTCGGAAAGCTTCGTGCAATTTTGCGCAGCACATGAATATTACAACACGCAATGTTTCAATGTGGATCAGAAATGCCATATGACGAGATCGTGTATGGGTTCTGCAGCTGCATTCTTATGAATTCTCAATTAGTTAAAAAAATAATGCCTACTGTAATTATATAACTTGGCAGGTAATGTGAACCAGCTTGTCTACAAATGGGAAACAACGGGTGCGTCTGACAAAGGATTTGGAAATAACCGCTGCGCCTTATTGTGTATGTTACGTCCGCTGTAGGACAGCGATGCCAATATTCAGAAGCTGTTTCTTATTTAGTCTCAACATTAATCAAAGACAGCCTGTCGGAAGGAATACCGCGCACGCGCAGATGAAAAGTATATTATTTCGTCACCTCTACTTATGACGCTACAAAAATAAGCGCCCAAAGCACGCGAATCAGTATATATCATGTTAGGTAATTTTTTGTCAGCCATTTATTTTTGTCGTTGGGTTACCGGGGCGGGTTTGAGGCAGCAATAATTCACTTTCGAACAGTCTTGCTTGTGTTCTGTTGTGAAAAAGTGCTTTGTTTTCTGTATTAGAACGGCATGTATAGGAAGTTCTGCTATTGCGGTGTGGGCAGGCAGGTGTTATGTGGCTGAAGATGCTTGGGAGGTGATTCAGCGCTGCTGCAGGCCAGCAATATGGTGGCGGGCTGGCTTAGGATGTCCAGTGAGCCGCGCCAACAGATGCCACGCCTTCAGCAGGTTTACTTCGTGTTTAATTTTATGTCTGCTCGCTCGCCGGGGACGGATAAACCGCTGCTGCTACTACTAGTGCTGCGGCGGCGCTGCGCTGGCTGATGCTGCTGCTGATGCTGAAGTGCCTGCTGCTTGCCCCGCCGCCGCTGCTGCTGCTTGATGCCTGGTTGTGGTGGTTTTGCTCTTGCGTTACTATTGCCCGCCGCTCTGCTGCTGGGTGGTGTATGTTGGTGCTGCCCTGCCTGATTGAGAAGGTGGGTTGGTAGGGGGGTTAAATTCGTTGATGATGATGATAATGTGGAATATAAAAAGCTGCTGCTGCATATTTTGGTACAAGCAGATTCGGCAGCGTGCGTTGTTGAAGTCACCCCATGGTTCCCTCGCGAGATGCAGAGTCGCTTCGCTAATCGTTTTGCCGGCTTCTCACCGAGACCTAACTCGACCCGTCTCTCTCTCTCTTCTCTCTCTTCTCTCTCTCTCTCTCTCTCAGCCTGATAAATCAGGCATCCGCAGGCTGCAATTTGCACCCTCCAAATTGACAAGTTCGAAGGAAAGCGTTTCTATCTGCTGGGGCTCGAGGTATAGACAAGCACGATGAAACCTTAATCGAAAGCTTGCTGGCGTTAACACGCGGATGAACTAATGGCTGATGAAAATCTCAATCCGATCAGCTGCTGGAACTGAATTTAGGACGCTGATTGACAACCTGAAGTGGCTTGCGAAGCATCGCGTACATCGGTGGCGCTAACCGAACCGCAAAGTGGCTTCAATGACATCTGACTATGCGTTTCGAGAGGACGATGACCGCATTCCCTCGTAAAATAAACAACAGTGATGCAGTGAACCTTGTATCTCAACGGCCTGGGCTGCTTGTTATTCTTTGCCGGGCCATATCCACCGTAGTCCAGGCCAACATCCTAGTGCCGCCTCAACATAAGGCCCTGCTTCCCCACCGCCAGCCCTGGTGATAGTGTCTAGAGTTTACGGATTGTAACCCGTGGGGGTTTTCACCTGACTTGGCATTGGCTTCAACCCGTGGCGCGCGAAGGGAGGTTTTTATGGGAGCGTGCCTTAAGCGATTCTTATTGGATGATTCTACATAACACGCTAAAACATACACACAAACACCACTCTTTGTGTAACAAACATCACACACACACACACACACAACACACACTACACACACACCACACACACACACACACACACACCACACACACACAGTCAACAGCCGCGGCCGCACACACACATAAATACTATATTATATATATATAATATAATATATTATATTATATAACTCTTTCTGCGGAAAAGTTTAGGACAGATTATACTTGGTAATGCTGGAA